TTTGTTAGGTAATGAGTGGCTAGAATTAAAGCTTGTTGGTATTTTTTTAAAGATTTTTTAAATCCCATCTTCAAGGTGGCGAACATACCTAATACTCCTTCCTCCTCCTATTTTCCCCACAACCGGCCTGTGAGGTGAGTTGGACTGAGACTGGCCCAGTCACCCAGCCAGCTTCATGCCTAGAATTCACTAGAACTCAGAGTCTCCTGGTTTCTAGCCTGGTGCCTTAACCACTACATCAAACTGGCTCTCATTTGAATGTATTTGAAATATAGAGGAAGGCTTGCTGGGTAAGCTAGTAGTTAGATGCAAGCTGCTAGGATTTCTTTTTCCCCAGTTTTGAATCTCATCTGAAATAAAAGGAGGATAACATTGGTATTATCTTACAGTTTTACAGTGGATGTCAGGATTGCTGAGATAATTGAGCATTGAAATAGTAGCAAGTGGAACTAAGTAGATGATGCCAAAAGGGAAAAAATCTTTAATAGTCTTCCCAGTCTTTTCTTAAACTTCACTGTATTTGTGCTCCACCTCTAGGATGTTCTGGGATTTAATATAGCTGGTCTCCAGTTCCTAAAGAGAGAAGTTGAAGCCAGGGATGAAGTGACTTTTTTTGCTGATGCTACTGACCGATTTGAGGAGAAAAAGAGGAAGAGAAAGAAGAAACAGAAGATGATTCTTGCAGTACTATGAGGCAGTTTGCCAAAGGATTTGTTGCCGTGCGAGAACACTGTGATGCCTACTTCCACATACTGAGGGGGTGTGATTTTCATGGGCTTGGGAGGGTGAGAGATCTGGGGAAAAATCATGTTGAGTTTTTATCCACAGGTTTTGAGATGGGTTATAGGAGATCAGGACTATCCCTTCTTATGTGTTCCCTGCTCTTAGCTGCTACAACTTCTCCTGATCTGTTGCTTTTGCTCACCTCCTATCACAGGACCCCACGTTGACTCTCACCCCACTCATCCTAATGGCAAATCATGAGGATAGAGCTTCCTGCCCTCTTGCTGGATGGATGAATATTTTAGTCCTGTTCTCCCCACCCTCTGAAAAAAAAAAGAAAAAGCAGCAATTGTTCAGATTTGATGTGGATATGAATAACGTGTTTCACACAATATAGCTCTTTGGCCTGATCTGAGAATTGATCTGTCTTTACAATTTGAGGTGGTTTCGTTTGTACTCAGTTTTCATTCTCATTTTTGCTATTTAATGAATTTATCATTTCAGTAATAGCAGTTTGCATTTGACTCATTATTTTCTGACGTTAGTTTTGGGGCAGAAATAGGACTTCGTGTTTTACTCATTGAAATGGAACAGTATATTCTTTCTCCAATGGCTACAAGATTCAGATTTTTAGGATGATATGAGTATTGACCTCAATTGCGTATTAGTTGCCATTTGTAGTTCCATAAATCATTTGCTCCTCTATGGTACAAGCTCAGTTGTACATCTTGAATCCCAGCAAAATTCTTCTAGCTGACATTTAGAATTTACTACCTGGCATTTAGAAGTTAAAAATTAGCTCTCCAGATGTGTAGTAGGAGAATGAAACTCATTTTTTGTAGCCTAGTAAGGCATTTGTTTTTTTCATTTAACCTAGAAGGTCTCTGAACACTAGCACCAGAAAATGCAGTAAGCACATTGGCAGTATTATAAAATAAGTATTAATGGGTTATCAGTTCTATGCTAGTATCAATATTAGCTGATTTTGATGATGCTGGTGATGTTCTCAAAATATTAGAGATGTTGCACAAGTTCTTTGTGCTTTTTTCCTTCAGCAAAGTGAGTAGCAATTTGTTTACATCCCTTTGTTGTTAAATCTTCATAAATCCAACCAAGAGCTTTGCAGTAGTGCAGAATATATATATTTTTTATTATTTATGGCTGCATGTTCATATTATTAAGATGATATGCTGACAACTGTTTACAATATCAATTATGTGTATACAATGGGTGAATATTAGTAAAACAAAACCGTTAAACTTTAAAAACATCAATTTAACATTCTTGGCAGATTAAGAACAGTAGCACTGCAGGGCTGTCGTAACATTGGAAAAAATTACTCCAGGTCTGCTCTGCAAAACAAACATAAAAATGATATAAGCGTATGGACAATTTCATTATAGTTATAACAGTACTGCAGCTCCCAAGGAGCCATGCTAAGAATGATACCGAAATTCTGCTAGCAAAGCTGAGTCTTGGAGCCTGCAAGCAGGAAAATAACAATTCTACATTAACCTGCCTCAACCTAATGCCCTCCAGCTGTTTGTGCTACAGATTCCACAATTCCTTGCCACTTGGACAACTTTCTTTTAAATGCAACTGTTTCATGGGTGGAAATTTCTAAACATTTTGCAATGATCAAGTTTTCTGATGTACCTTTCTACTGCGACTAACTTGAGTGTCTGAGTACGTATGCCTGCTGAATCCAGCAGTTAGATACCTTGTTTGCCTTGTGCATTTAAAGTTAAAGTAATTATGGAAGTGGGTTTTGCCTCTGATGTTTCCTTAAATACGGAATAAGATCTTCAGTTTGTTTCTGGGAACATCTGAAGCAGAGGGAGATAACCTGAGGCCTTAAGACTGCCTGTGGCCTCTGTCCCTCCTTTTTTTGCAATTCTGTAGCCCCCTCACCACAACTGAAAACTAGTGACACTGTTACTGTTTCAGGTTTAGAATGCATGGAAATTTATAATGTAAGCTCTTGAAAGGGCTTAACATTTTTTACTAAGGAAAGCCTAACAAAAAAATCTGTCTAAAAGAAGTCCTGGCCTACCTCCTGTAGGTCTCATTTTTCTCAAAAAATGCCAAATGCAACTGCTTATCAAATCATTCTAAAATTGTTTCAAGCAATCATCTCTGCAAAAAAAAAAAAATGCATGTGATTTTGGACCCACAAATTTCTGTAGTTTTTAACTTGCATTTTTTGGTCACTAGACCAAACACTTTCTTAAGTCAGGATGCAGAGAGGACTGTTTGGCAGAAAGCAATTGGCCAGACAAGAGTGAAGGGAAAGGAATCTCATTTTGCAAAGTCCTTTTCTCACTGTTATTTCCCTTTTTTTTTCTTGAGTGCAAAAAGCTTAGTTTGCCTGCATTTCTGTATCCCCTACCCCAAAAGTACAGTCAGGTCCAGAAATATTGGGACATCGACACAATTCTAACATCTTTGGCTC